GGTCTGACTTTAGCATAGCCCTGAACGTAGTCATTTTATTTGATATTGTAGCTTTACTTGAAAATACGGACTATGGGATGTGTAAAAAGAGTTTCACATCTCTTTTACTTTGGCTAGATGGACTAATCGTATTTCATTATATTTTTCACTAGCGTGTATGATGACTTGATTTAATGAATGAACAATCTTACGTATCTACAATATATTAAAAGTGGAGATTGAGGAGAAACTTTCGAATACCACTTTTATCCCTACATATTTATCTATATGTCCAATATACCCTCATGATTTACAAAAAGAAAAAAAAAAAAAAATTGAAAGGCTGCATTAATATGTTATATTTATTATTTACCCTTATTGAAAAGTTATTCTAATTGACAGTTACATATGAATATATCTAAGTTTAGATAAAAATGGAATACCAAATAATTCAATTATTATCTCAAAATAAGAAAATTAATAATTATTATTGCTTTCAAGAATTAAGTCGGTTAATTTCAACTAAACACAATTATTACTAACTATTAGTATACAAAATTACCAAATGTTAACTACGGAATACCAAATGATTCAATCTATTCCCTCCTCGACTTTTTTATAACATTATTATCGATACCTTCTTATCGTGTATCTCGTTATATTTTTAAATCCAAAATATCCATTAGAGGCGTAAAACAATTAATTTACCAACCACATCTTTAAAAATTAATGAATACAAAAGGGCGACAGAATACTTTCTCTAAGTTTAAAGCACCCAAATGTAATATTTTGAAATAAATTTTTGTCAATATCGAGATGTGCTAATTTATAAAATATTAAAATCGACGAAAAAGTTGAGGAAATAAAGGGTACAATCGAAGATATTGAGTGCAATTGACATTATGAATATCCTACAATAGAATTATGAAGTGGGAGAAAGTTAAGGGAGTAGCACGTGGGTTGTCAAAGCACGTCAGTCTACCCCCCAAGGACTTTAAGCCAAAGGGCATATCAAGATAGGACCACTTGCCCCTTATATATTTGGAGATCACATCCTCACTCACAATTTCTTTCGTAAAAGAATGGAAAGAAAAAATAAATAAATTGTAGTGCTTGTTATTCAACGTGCTTTAATGATATAAATTTAAAATTATATAAACTAGTAATTGTCAATTGGGAAACGTGAGGGAGTGAATGTAAAAACTTCGCTTATGATGCAAATTGATCAATATTTTGGTTCAATCTTGAAACAGCTTTCTTTTTTATTTTCTTTATTTATTTGGAAAGATTTAAAAACATCACAAGTTCCTATTTATGATATTAGATGATAAATAGTCTATTCTACTTTAATTTAGAAATGGAACATTTTTAAAGCATTACGTGTCTAAAATTAGATATTATAACGAGGAAATTATATTATATACACAAAAGATTTTATCTATTGAAATGTGTATTTAAAATTTTGAATTTTTTCTTTAAAAATTGTAATACTTATCTCCTCAACTTTTTTATAACGTTATTATCGATAACTTCTTACCGCGTATCTCGTTATAGTTTTTAATCCAAAATATTCATTAGAGGTGTAAAACAACTAATTTACGAAAGTGCAACAGAATACTTTCTCTAAGTTTAAAGCACTCAAATGGAATATTTTGAAAGAAAGTTTTGTCAATATCGAGATGTGCTAATTTATAAAATATTAAAATCGACGAAAAAGTTGAGGAAATAAAGGGTACAACCGAAGATATTGAGTGCAATTGACATATAGTACAACAAATAAAAACTGTGCTAATTCATGAAATGATGAAAATAAGATCTCATCGAAAAAGTTGAAGAAAATAAATGGTACAATGAATAAAGATTGAGGAGCTTAAATGCACTAGTCAAAGTTGAACTCTGTTGCACGTTAATATGGAATGCTATATATATATATACATGAACATAAATGTTAAATCATTCATTTAATTTTTAATGAAGTAAAATTGGACCTTAGTTAGAATATATATACTTGAATAATGAAATGCATTCTTGAATGTGAAATTCTAATTGACTTATAAGTAGAATTAATAATACAAATACATAAATGAAGGTGAATATTAATTAAATGGATACGAATATTAATTAATTGAGAATTAATAATAATCTAAATAGCATCTATCAAACTGGTGCTCTAGCGCTACTGGTGCTAAATAATTTTATTCAAATGAATAAATAAATTAAGTACATATTAAAAAATAAAAAGTAAGGTATTATTAAAATAATTGAATTATAGTAAGGATAGAATTGTTTAAGAAATAATTCTCACTTGTCACTTGTCGCTCATTATATAATATTTTAACAAATAATATCAATTGGGAAATTTCCAGTCCCAGGTTGCCGACATAATTCGGTAGCGACATAATTAGGGGCCATTTGGCTTTTTGATGTAATTAGAGTTGCATTTCTGTTTCTTGAATAGAGGAAATTTGGATATCATACAAAGGCAAAATGTTCAAAAAATTAAACTACTCTATCAGTCCTGTAACAGGCTTGGTAGAGTGGTTGCCTCACATGAGATGGGTCCCATTTGACTTTTTGATGTAATTAGAGTTGCATTTCTGTTTCTTGAATAGAGGAAATTTGGATATCATACAAAGGCAAAATATTCAAAGAATTAAACTACTCTACCAGGCCTGTAACAGGCTTGGTAGAGTGGTTGCCTCACATGAGGTGGGTCCTCCCACCTCATTAAAAAATACCCCTCCAAATGTTTTATCACCCACCCCCCATGACTCATTATCTCTACCAGATTTTATACCAATCTAGTAGAGTAGCACGGTCCATGTTCAAATTCATCACATGCAAACCGTGACAATGCGAAAAAAACAACTTGGGTGATTAATGGGTTGATAGAGTTTAGTTACTCAATATTGACGTTTAGGAGGCCATTTGCCAGAATGTCAATAAGTTCAAGGAAAAATCATTTAAGGAACGATGAATCTATTTCTTCGTCTCTTTGATAAAAAATCAGAATTTTAGTAGAGAATGGTCAGATATATGAGATTACAATGACCTTACATCTAAATCGGTTAAGGTCTGAATAATTAGAAATTCTATCTTCCTTTCTTTTTTTTTTTACCATAAAAATAATCAATCATCAGAAGAAGAATATGCCAAAATTAAGAAATAATCCTAGGATCATGACAAGGATAGGAATCACTGATTTCAAATAATTTAGAATAATGTTACTTGTATATAACAAAAAGTTTTACAAATTGATGACGTGTCAAAAAATAAGTGGTGAAGTCTTTTTTTTTAATTTGGTTGAATAGATTTTGATCCAATTATATATTACAAAATCATGTGTTTGTAAATCAATATATAAGTGATGATATCATGATGAATATGTAATACAACCGAATAATTTATGGCTAAATTAATGAACTTTTTACACAAACACCGAAATAAGTTTGACAAAGCATAAGTTGATATATTTTTGGAATCGTACCTGTTCCCGATATAGACTCACATTAGAGTATATAAGTTATAACAAAGGGTTGAAGGACATTTTTGGCATTGTGATGGTCCCACTCCAATGATTCCCACCATTCTTCGTCGTCTACGTGTATTTGGATTTCTTCAAGATGTGGGGGAGGAGATAGTTGTCCGTGGAGAAGCGGTAAATTTAAAGGCAATTCCTTTACATTATCAATGCCCCCCAAATAAATGGACTCAATGGAATCACAAATCATCTTTCCCTTGCAGATGCTCTTTAGTTGTGGCAAATTCTCCAGTTCCAATACCTTTAACTTTGGCAATGTGATATCAGCTCCTTCATTGTTGTCATCTTCTATTATCTCCTCCATTTGTACACAGTCCTTGACAGTCAATTCTTGGAGGTTATGGAAATTATGTGCCAAACTCTGAGGGAAAAGCTTCTCGATTTTACCACAACCTTCAATTGTCAAATGTTCAAGACAGGAAAATGTGCCAGGTTGAAGAGGTGCGACTGCTTCCCACTTTTACAAATTGATGACGTGTCAAAAAAAAAAAAGTGGTGAAGTCTTTTTTTTGTAATTTAGCTGACTAGATTTTGATCCTATTATATATTACAACATCATGTGTTTGTAAATCAATATATAAGTGATGATATCATGATGAATATGTAATACAACCGAATAATTTATGGCTAAATTAATGAACTTTTTACATAAACACCGAAATAAGTTTGACAAAGCATAAGTTGATATATTTTGAAACTAATTCTAAAAAATTAAGGCATTAGTGTACCTAGGATTTGTTACACAGATACCCTTGAAAAATTAAAATAAAGTAGTTCCCAATCACATTTGAACATCGATAAAATGTCTAAAATGTTCATCAAACTACAACTTTAGTATTGGCTTTCTTCCTCTCTTGACTCTCGAGCATCCAAATTGGTTATGCATTTCTCTGGAAAGAACAAGTTATAATTTTGTATTAAAAATAAATGACAAGGAAAATGCACGTGCTAATATTAATATTAAAATTTGCATTGATGGTATTTTATTTAACTTTTAGGGTAATTATCCAAAACGTTTTTTTTTTCTACAATTTTATATCTAAATGTTATTTACCAATTAAATTTAAATCGAAGTCAAAAATTAATTTTAACCACACATTTCATAGGACGCACACCTTTTCAATTACACATTATATTAACTTTTATCAAAATCTATTAAAATTTTGATTTTTATCTAAACCAGACAGATGATAAATATAGAAAATAAACTGATAAAAAAACTATAAATTAATTTGATTCTTTAATTATTCGTTTTTAGTGTCATCAAATAATTCTACCATGAGTCGAGAGTCTTGCTTGATGGATTTGTATGTTTCCTTTTGTTCTTAGATAAATTTAGGATCTGTTTGAGACCAATTTTTTAAGAAATAAGTTGTTGAAAAATTATTTTTAGAATTAATTATTAAGAGAGATCAAAAGAAATAAGTTGTTGAAAATAGTGAGGTTGTGGAATCGTACCTGTTCCGGATATAGACACACATTAGAATACGTAAGTTATAACCAAGGGTTGAAGGACATTTTTGGCATTGTGATGGTCCCACTCCAATGATTCCCACCATTCTTCGTCGTCTACGTGTATTTGGATTTCTTGAAGACGTGGGGGAGGAGATAGTTGTCCGTGGAGAAGCGGTAAATTTAAAGGCAATTCCTTTACATTATCAATGCCCCCCAAATAAATGGACTCAATTGAATCACAAATCATCTTTCCCCTGCAAATGCTCTTTAGTTGTGGCAGATTCTCCAGTTCCAATACCTTTAACTTTGGCAATGTGATATCAGCTCCTTCATTGTTGTCATCTTCTATTATCTCCTCCATTTGTTCACAATCCTCGACAGCCAAGACTTGGAGGTTATGGAAATTATGTACCAAACTCTGAGGGAAAAGCTTCTTGATTTTATCACAACGTACAATACTCAACTCTTCGAGCGAGGAAAATGTGCCAGGTGGAAGAGGTGCAACTGCTTCCCACTTGAAGAGACCAATTAAATTTGGCAAGCCACTCATATACAACGTTTTAAGGCTTTGGAATGGGACCCCAGTACTAGACTGTTGTTCGTTCTCTAACCTCATAATGCACTCTATTTTATCCTCCTTTTGTATCCAGCATTCTTTTAAATCTCTGGCATAATTCGACATTGGAAAATCATCTAATAAGCAACCACTCAAGCCACTTCTTGAAAAGGATAAAATCTCAATATATCGTGGCAGCATATACTTATCTGTGTCTAAAGAGGATTCCATGAGACTGTCTTTTCGAAAACTCAAATGTTTCCATCGTAAAATGAGATCTTCTCGTGGTTTGAATGTTTTTCGAGAACTTATTCTAATATTGTACAAAAAGGATTGCTCGCCAATTTTTCGTGAGTTGATTAACCGATTGAGATCACGTATGCTATTTAACCTGCCTTGAAATACTTCCAACAGTGATGATGCCTCAATTTCTTCTATTGGTACGTCTAAATGATCTGGCCACGTGAGCTGCTGAAGACGTGAGAGTCCATGCAAAGTCCCCGTCGGTATCATCTTTAAATTTTCACATGACAAACATAGGCTTTTGAGGTTGGTTAAGCTCTCCATACCTTGGGGTACTTCTTCAATATGTTTCCTTTTGTTCTTGGATAAACTTAGGATTTGTTTGAGACCAATTTCTTGAGAAATAAGTCGTTCAAAAATTATTTTTAGAATTAATTATTAAGAGATATCAATAGAAATAAGTTGTTGAAAATAGTGAGGTTGTGGAATCGTACCTGTTCGGATAGACTTTGATCAATCTTTCATGCACCAAGGGTTGGAGGACATTTTTGGCATTGTGCTGGTCCCACTCCAATGATTCCCACCATTTTTCATCCGTTTGGAATATATTGATCCTTACAAGACATGGGGGAGGAGATAGTAGTCCTTGGAGAAGCGGTAAATTTAAAGGGAATTTCTTTATATTTTCAATGCCCATCAACGAGATGGACCGAATGGAATCACAAATCATCTTTCCCTTGCAGATGCTCTTTAGTTGTGGCAGACCTATCAGAATCAAGCTCTTTAACATTGGCAATGTTATATCAGCTCCTTCATTGTTGCCGTCTTCTATTATCTCCTCCATTTGATCACAGTAACTCACATATAATAATTCGAGATTATGGAAATTATGTACCAAACTCGGAGGGAAAAGCTTCTTGATTTTACCACAACGTACAATACTCAACCTTTTGAGCGAGGAAAATGCACCAGGTGGAAAAGGTGCAACTGCTTCCCACTTGAAGAGACCAATTAAATTTGGCAACTCATACAGTCGCAACTCTTCAAGGCTTTGGAATGGGACCCCAGTACTAGACTGTTGTTCATCCTCTAACCTCATAATGCACTCTATTTTATCCTCCTCATCTATCCAGCATTCTTTTAAATCTCTAGCATAATTTAAACTTGGTAATTCATCTAATAAGCAACCACTCAAGCCACTCTTTGAAAAGGATAAAACCTCGATATCTCGTGGCAGCATATTCTCATCCGTGTCTAAAGAGAATTCCATGAGACTGTCCTCTCCAAAGCGTATATATTTATTTCGTAAATTGGCCTTTTTATATGAGAAGCTTTCAGTACCTATACAAATATCGTAGAAAAGGAATTGCTTGTCAATTTGTCGTGAGTTGATGAGCCGATTCAAATCACGTGCGCTATTTAACCTGCCTTCAAATGCTTCCAACTGTTTCAATGCCTCAACATCTTCTATTGGTGCATCAAAATTATATGGCAACTTGAGTTGCTGAAGATGTGTGAGTCTATGCAAAGTCCCCGTCGGTATCATCTTTAAGCGACTACAAAAAAAGCTTAAGTGTTTGAGGTTGGTTAAGCTTTCCATACCTTGGGGTACTTCTTCAATAAGAGTACCCGAGAGGTCCAAATATCTCAATTCCTTGATCTTTTCCAATGATGGCACTGATACCAGATTATAACAACTAGTGAGCAATAATGCATTAAGTTTCTCCAAGTCTGATATGGAATTTGGCAAGCTCTCAATATGAGTTCCACTTAAATCGAGAGTGCGTAACCCACACATATGCTTAAAGAAACATTCTGGAATCAGCCACAGAGGATTTCCTCTCAAGATCAAGGTGGAAAGTCTTGGACACTTGGGTGACGTGCCAGGTGAAATTTCACTTATTTTGTTTCTCATCAAGGAAACCTTATCCAAATCTTCTGTCCACTCTTTCTCCTCTGGTAATTCCTCTAAGTGAAGTCCAGCTTTTACCATGTACCTTGGGTTATCTTGAGTGATCCGTATTGCCATGTCTCTGATTAAATCATGCATCTTTAAATGTCCATCTGAATATCTTTCCAATAAGCAGGCTCTCTCCAATTGATTTAGTATTGCATGACCCTGGTCGACCTCTTCATGCATGCTTAATCTTCTCCCCATCAGCTCTTCTGAAATGAAATATTCAATCAAATCTGCTTTTGAAATAGGATAATCTTCAGGATACAAGGAGCAGTGCAAAAAACAACTTTTTAGCTTTGGATCTCTTAACCGATGATAACTATACGAAAGAATTGGAAAAACCTCATTTTCCATGTCGTCTCGTCCCAAACATGATTCTTCAAGTCCTTTTAATGCATCTCTCCATTCACGAATGTCAGTCACGCCTCTCACGCTTCCAGCCAACGTGATGACTGCAAGTGGCAAACCATCACATCTATATACCATTTTCTTGCAAATCTCTTTTACTTCCACAGATAGTTCATCACGATCAAGTGTCTTAAAGAATAGGTCCAAAGCTTCAGGCTCGGGAAGTGTGTTCACTTTGATAATCTTCTTGCAGCTCATACGTCGACAAATATCTTCTGATCGACTTGTTACGACCAACTTGCATCCATCCCCTTTTAAAGGAATTCCTATTTTCTCTGCGTTAATCCATTGCCAAACATCATCCAGTATAAGTACGAATCTCTCCCTTTTCTTGAATGCCTGGAACAGTTGAGCTGCCCTTTTTGTCTTATCACTGCCACATGAAAAATGTAGATTCAATGCTTCGGCCATGTCACTTTGCAATTTGTCAATGCTGAACTCTTGGGAGACGGTGACCCAATAAACATCACCTGAGAATGTGGATTCTTTTAGCTTATCATGGACACGCTTTGCCAGAGTCGTTTTGCCTACTCCCCCCATTCCATAAATGCCAATGCTTATGCTTGTGACTTTGACATCCATTAATGACATACAAATGTCATCTAAATTTCGCTGAAATGCTTGGTCAATTGGTTCGTGTGTTAACAATAACTGGTCAATACTCTCATCAACCTCAAGAGAAAGCCCGCCAGGAAAATCACTTTGTTCAACAAGTTCCGTTGCTTCCTTAGTCATTTTTTCAAGCTGTTCAGCCAACTTTTGTCGGTTGAAAACATGATAAATACTGCGGCTTTGTTGTACTTGTTGTTCCAAGGTTTCAAACTCTTCTCTAATGTTTTCAACATTATTCCTCCAATCTTCAACCTCTCTCTTGCGTTTTTTCCCAGAATGACATGCTGCATTTTGTAATTTTTCATCCATATCACCTTTTCGACTTTTCAGTAATTTTATTTTTCTTTGAAGAGTATATGTAATTTCCTCCAAGTCTGGGAATATCAATGTAAGCTTATCCATGTGGCTTCCTGCAAATATCATTCAATATTGTAATATACAGTCAAAATACCAATGGAACACTTGAGACATTACTTTGAGAAATATTAATTCGGAATCCTTCATTTTGTACAATCTCGATCAAGAAAATTTCAAATCATTCAAAACATGGGAACTTTTACAGAAACTTAAATTAAGAGATAATTCACCATTTAAATTTAAAAAACTAGTCGAGGTTCCTATCCTCCCACACAAAAGACGACATGTTATATCAAAATTAATGCAAAAGAAAATTACAAAATCCTTATTTATCCCCTAACAAATTGTAGCAATTTGATGTTGAGAAAAAGAGATACTGTACTCAACTGGCCGTTTTGAACATGAGACCAAATTTCCTCCTATCACTCAAAACGCTTAAGGTGCGAGATTGATTCATTTATTAATAATTATTTAATCAGAACAATCAATGAAAAACATTTAACGGTCATAGAAAGAGGTCAATATTATATAATATATTTACCTTTGAATCGAATAATCTTGAAAATCGTGAAAACAAACCGGGCAAGGAGCAAAGATGAATGAATCTCCTACAATAGAATAAAGAAGAAGTGGGAGAAAGCTGCAGGCCTGTGATCAAGTTGTATAATACGACATTGACTGACGTTTACCAAGAACCTTCATGGAAGGAACCAAAATTCAATTATTCAACCAAAGGGAGGGCCCCATCAAGTCATAATCTTGACAATTCCAAAATAAACAGGGTAGGGAGGACAGAAGAATGAAGGAGAAAGTTGTGGGTTGTCAAAGCACGTGAGTCGACCCCAAGGACTTTAAGCAAAAGATAGGACCACGTGAGATTTCTTTATTTATTTGGAAAGATTTAAAAACATCACGAGTTCCTATTTATGATATTAGGAGTGTGTTTGGGAGAAATTTTTGTGGGATTTTAATCAAAATTATAGACATTAAAGTCAACCCGTGTGCTCCACCTGTAGGAGGGAAGGTCAAAAATGGTGACTGATTTGATAGTTAACGGCTAGACTTTTTATTAAAATCCTGATTAAAATTTATCCCAAACGGGGCCTTAATTGGATTTTAATTATTCCCAAACAAGCTAGGTTAAAATTTCTCCCAAACAGGGCCTAGATTACCAACAATATTGTCCTCCCACTTACTTTTTCTTCAATCTTTTCTTGTTTTTGTCAATCGCCATTTTCTTGTTCTACATTAGATATTATAATGAGGAAATTATATTATATTCGCACAAAAGGTTTCATCTATTGAAATGTGTATTTAAAATTTTGAATTTTTTTCTTTAAAAATTGTAATACTTATCCCCTCAACTTTTTTATAACATTATTATCGATACCTTCTTATTGCGTATCTCGTTATAGTTTTTAATCCAAAATATTCATTAGAGGCGTAAAACAACTAATTTATCAACCACGTCTTTAAAAATCAATGAATATGAAAATGCAACCGAATACTTTCTCTAAGTTTAAAGCACTCAAATGGAATATTTTGAAAGAAATTTTTGTCAATATCGAGATGTGCTGATTTATAAAATATTAAAATCAACTAATTTATCAACCACGACATCATCAGGATTATCCCTCCTCGTGCTCGGAAATATAAGCCCTCGACTAGGATTCTATCCTATGTCATAGCTCGTCCTACTCCAAGAAGGAAAGTCCTACTATTATCATGATACCTCATCCTAAAAGGCTTAAGCGTCACTGGCACTAAATAGTATTATTCAAATGAATAAATAAATTAAATACATATTAAAAAATAAAAAGTAAGATATTATTAAAGTAATTGAATTATAGTAATGATAGAATTGTCCAAAAAATAATTCTCACTTAATATGATATTTATAGCAAGAAAATAACCGTTGTTTTCAACCGTGGGTCCCACTCGTGAGTAAGGAAGTCAACTTTGGCTGCTGAGATTGCTTTCCAACTGTTCAAAAATTCATTTCTTGGCTTGAATAATCGATACCAGACACACCCTTAATATATTATAGAATAATTGATACGCGGTGTAAATAAAAACTGTGATGCCAATATAGTTGCCTATTATATAATATTTTAACAAATAATATCAATTGGGAATTTTCCAGTCCCAGGTTGCCGACATAATTCGGTAGCGACATGATTAGGGGCCATTTGGCTTTTTGATGTAATTAGAATTGCATTTCTGTTTCTTGAATAGAGGAAATTTGGATATCTTACAAAGGCAAAATGTTCAAATTCATCACATGCAAACCGTGACAATGCGAAAAAAACAACTTGGGTGATTAATGGGTTGATAGAGTTTAGTTACTCAATATTGACGTTTAGGAGGCCATTTGCCAGCATGTCAATAAGTTCAAGGAAAAATCATTTAAGGAACGATGAATCTATTTCTTCGTCTCTTTGATAAAAAATCAGAATTTTAGTAGAGAATGGTCAGATATATGAGATTACAATGACCTTACATCTAAATCGGTTAAGGTCTGAATAATTAGAAATTCTATCTTCCTTTCTTTTTTTTTTTACCATAAAAATAATCAATCATCAGAAGAAGAATATGCCAAAATTAAGAAATAATCCTAGGATCATGACAAGGATAGGAATCACTGATTTCAAATAATTTAGAATAATGTTACTTGTATACAAGGAGTTACAAAAAGTTTTACAAATTGATGACGTGTCAAAAAGTAAGTGGTGAAGTCTTTTTTTTTTTAATTTGGCTGAAGAGATTTTGATCCAATTATATATTACAACATCATGTGTTTGTAAATCAATATATAAGTGATGATATCACAATGTATATATAACACAACCGAATAATTTATGGCTAGAATAATTTAGGATTTGTTGTACAGATACCCTTGTAAAATTAAAATAAAGCAGTTCTCAATCACATTTGGATGCATTCTTCCTCTCTTGACTCTCGAGCATCCAAATTAGTTATGCATTTCTCTGGAAAGAACAAGTTATAAACATCAAATATTAAAATAAATGACAAGGA